CTGAGCGCCCTTCCCGGCCGTGTGACAGGAGGCAGATCCAGCCCATCGGGGGCGGGATTGGCCGCCCCATCCCTGCTCCCGAACTCGTGGGAGAAATCCTTCATGTGTTCAGATTCGTTCTGACAGGGGACACCTACCGCTGGCACGTTCCGGTTTCCTTGTGAATTAAAGGTCGCACGTTCTGGGGAAATTGTGCGAGGGTGGGAGCTGTTTGCTAAGGGAAAGACGAGATAGAACCAGATGCTCTCTCCAGCCTCTACAATCACACTGAAGAGCACTCCTTGCCTATACTCAACCCTAAGCTTAGAGAAAAATAAGTGAAGGTGCTGTTTCCAAATAGCTCTGAAATTTCTCCTTCCATAAGATTACCAGCAAAACAATTACATGTACTTGGAAGTCTTACAATACCTGGGAGTAATAGTATAATCCCCATTTTACAGATGCAAAAGCAGGCATAGCTTACAAGTCACAGACCTGGAAGTGGTTTCCTTTCTTCAGCACTTGGTGAGTGTCCAGCTTTCTGGCTCAACTGACTTAAATTTATGGATAACTCTAAGCCAGACCACAGCTGCTAAATGCCCACGGAATCACAGTGCCTCCGGAAGACACCAGGGTGCACACACATCACTGTGAATGCAGCAGGTTGGTTCTGAGGTGGGTCACTCTCCAAAGGTATTCAGGTAGCAGGCACGGGTACCTCTTCAGCAGACCCTCTGTCCTCATCAGTCTTCCTGAAACACACATCAGCTGTGTTCAGGATGGCAAAGAAGAGGTTCTAGGCACATGAGTCGAGTCCTCAAGCCGTGTGACCCATGTGTGTTCTCCACAGTGTTCACTAACTGCACCTTGCATTCCAATTGCCTACACGGGACCAGAAAAGCTGAAACCAGGATACTTTCTGGTGGACCAGGTACAGCAGCAGCCTGGACACCTTAGTGAAAACATCTATGACCAGCCCTGCCTCCACACAGGCAGCTCACCCTTGAAAGGAAGTTGGGCCCAGCACTTGGCTGACATTTTGTCACACCGTGCCCTCCTCCACGAAAGTATCAGGGCATGGCCACCAACTGTTCTTGACAACAGCTGTGTGTGTGTATGAATACACCAATTGATGTACACACACATCCCACACACACCTTCTGCCTTCCTGGTCAGTAGCTAACATCAGCTACCTGCTGATGTGATCACACAGTAAACCCTGCTTCACTCTCACAGCTCTTGTCTGTGGCATTCCAGATGTAAGATAAGGATGGAGGCTTTAGCATCGTAACCATTAAAAAGGATTTACCATCTTAATTCATTCTCTTTCAGTGATACAGAGTATTTGCTAATCTTAAAAATCTCTCAGCAGCTTGTCCTCAGCAGTACTGCTTCTATCAAATTTAAGGAGGAATCCACATACTTACGTGAGAATCCCAGCTAGAAAAATGAGATGAGGAAGCACAGTGATGAACAGAAGCTGAAAATAATCTCTCAATCTTCTGCAAAGCACAAGAAAGGTATGATGCTGAACTAAGGATAATTACAGAGACATGACCCAGCTGAAAATGTTAAGCAGCCCTGGGAAAAGGCAGAAGTGCCACACGCCTTTCTAAAAACTGTTAAGCCACTCCTGTCACTGGCCTGTTAAAAATTCCAAATTCCATTTCTCCTGACTCAGTCCCTCCTGAATAAGTAAGGGGGGGACAAGCACACAGAGGCTTTTGGATGGCGCCTGAGATTTCATTAATGTGCTGCTATTTTCTAAGTGTTCTTCATCAGCATGCAAGCAAAAGTGAAGAAATAAAAATGCTGAAATGCACAGAGCAAATGAACAAATAATGTACCCTTTGAAGGCAGAGAAAGTAGCATTGTTGCAGTTTGACCCCAGCCAGCAACCAAGCCCCACGAAGCTGCTCACTCACTCCCCTCTGGTGGGATGGGGGAGTGAACAGGAAGAGTAAAAATGAGAAAAATCAGGGATTGAGATACACACCATTCAACAGGAAAAGCAAAAGCCATGTATGCAAGCAAAGCAAACCAAAGAATAATTCACAGCTTCCCTTCAGCAGGCAGGTGTTCAGCCACCTCTAGGAAAACAGGGCACCATCATACACACTTGGCTACTTGGGAAGACAAACTCTATCACTCCGAATGTTCTCTGCTTCCATCTCCTTCCCCCAGATTTATATGCTGAGATGACATTATATGGTACAGCATATCTCTTGGTCAGTTGGGGACAACTGTCCTGGCTGCAGTCCTTCCCAGCTTCTTGTGCACCTCCTGGCCTGGCAGAGTTGAAAAGTCCTTAACTGTCCTGCAACAAATAAAACATCAGTGTGTTACCAACTTCCCTCTCATCCTAAATCCAAAACACAGTATAATACTAGCTACTAGGAAGAAAATTAACTCAATCCAAGCCAAAATCAGCACAAGTATAAACAACACTTGGCAGGCCACACCTTAGGGTAGTACAGGCTGAATCCAAGGCAGTGCCCTATGTGTCTCTATGGTGCTATTAATTTCTAGAGGGAACCTGCCTTCTTAGGTCACCATTTCACATAGTCAGAGAGGGGAAAATACATGCCAATTTGCTCAGAATCAAAGGGAGTTTTGCAGAAACTGAGGAATCATAATTCCAAACTGCTAACATAGGCTACATCAGTATAAATCACTGAAAATACACTGACTTCCTCACTGTACAGTAATACTGTGAGTGCTGACAGTAATTCACTAATCAGCAGTCATCACATGAAATAATGATAGAAAAAAAAGCACAAAGAAAAGCCTTTCCTTATTTCTTCATAAATAATGGTAATGATGATGATGATAATAATAATAATAATAATAATAATAATAATAATAATAATAATAATAATAATAATAACATAAAGCAAAATTCTTGCTTTTTTCTGAGGTTGAAGCACAAAGAGATTGATATAGTATCTACGAAGAACTGAGACACATTGAAAGCAAAGAAGTAAGCACTTCCTTTATTCTGGTGGAGCATGATGGCAAAACAACCATCTCTGCATTACTGAGTTTAAACAGAAAACTTGAATGGAGTCTTACAGGCAGTAGTCCTGACAAGGACATGGTTAGATGAGTTCTTGTAATTCAACTGCTGAATCCCTGTTCTACATTTGCCTGTTTTACACTGAAATCAGACCAACAAAGCTTACCCAGTCGCTGCCTCAGCTACATACTTACACAGTGGACAAAGGGAGAACAGAGGATCAAGGGCACAGCACACAGACTGATTTATGGAACACAGGAGGTCACATTCAACTCCACAAAACGTGTCCAGGGAACATTCTGCAGGGCAAAGTCAGTGGGCCAAAGTCAGTAGCCAATATTCCCAATAAGAGGATTACACTTCTGTTTATCATTCCTTTTTTTTTTTTCTCTCCTCTCTGGCAGTAAGTTTTTGCTCCTGATTACTCTTCAGGCAAAGCTCTTCCCTTGATCAAAAGCAGCTACCACTTGGCTCTTTTTCACTTAGTATGTATCTATCAAGTCAGACACTTCCATCACCAGGGAGGAGGCACAGCAGGAGAGTTGACTGTACTTTAAACACTGCTCTTTTTTTGGATCTACCTCACAGAAGAGAGTTAAGAAAGCAGCTGGCAATTCCATTCACTACAAGGGTTCACAGTTTTGTGAGATCTGTGAAGCAAACAATTAGAGACTGATGGCCAGTCAATCTTGCTGGCATCCCACACCTCCCCAAACGTCACCACTGCCCAGCAAACCCCCTGTCAAACAGGATAATAACATAAAGGTTGATGGAGACCCTGAGATGACAGCTGTTCTGCCTGATGCTGCAATGATTATACACACACTGCGTTTGCATTCAACCAATGATGCTGCAGACATAATTTTAAACATGGGTAATTTTTCTCTTTGGCTAGCATCTCCTCAGGCAGACAATGGCACAGTTTATTTTCAACAGTTTATAGTTACCTTCAGATGACATACCAGGTCACCATGAACTGAGTGACCTGTTATTTTTTTTCTAAAATAACATCTCAACCAAAATATGAGCTTGGACTAGATGACCTTTAAAGGTCCCTTCCAGCCCAAAACCTTCTAGGAAAATAAGTATCAGTCGCAGTACAAGGTACTAGAACTTGATATATCATCAGTATCTTTTTGAGAAATGCACTGGTGCTCTGGTTCAGACACATTCACAACAAACTGACAATGGAACGGGAACATGGACAGAAAATCGGCCTGAATTTAGAGATAAAGTTTGTCCCCATTCCAACAAAATCCTCTCTCTGAGCAACAACGAATTTGCCCCAAAACCTTTCAGCCTTCAACTCTCCTTCCTGCCTCCCTTCTTCTCCTTGCTCCCTGCCTTACAGCCCCAAGACATGCCACCCCGCCCTGAGAAACCTCCACAGGGACTCCAGGGCCACACCACAACCACTCAGCAACAGGACTGGGTCAGAAACGAGGCTTCTGGTTCTTGTTTTCCTGTGGATCTGCTTTGTTTGCGCGACGCGTTTTGCCGCCCCAGCCAGCGCCGGCCACAGGCTCAACAGCACCAAACCGGGCAGTCAAAGCCCTAATTCCCCTTCCGTTTCTCCCTCAGCCACCTGTTTGGCTGCTCCTCTGCTGGAAGGAGGAAACACCGAAGGGATGTGACACCCCCGGGCCGCGCTGAGGAGCCGGAGCCGCCCGGGAAGCAGCGATGGTGCCTCAGACCGAGGGACGGGCCCAAGGTGGGAGCTGTAGTTCCCAGCACCTCCGGGCTGAGGGAGCCCAGAACATTATACTGGGAGTTTTAAGACAAATTATGGGGTTGTTTGGGTTTTTTTGGGGGGTGGATTTAGCTGCTCAGCCAAGCAAAATGTTTACTTTCAGAAGGGCTTGTGTAAGAGCGCTGCTGTCACCCCACAAAAGCACTCCTGCTGCCAAGGGCTGCTTCAGCAGATTTGAGGTATTTCACTGCAAAAAAACCCACCTAGCCAGGGAGAGGAAGGACCCCACAAGGGCAGGGTCTGGTGGGCACCGTCATGAGCACACCTGGAGCATTGGGAATGGGGCCAGATCTACCTGTGGAGCGCTGGGTGCTGGCCGGGGCTGCTGCTGGGGAGAATCGGCTGGTCAGGGGCTGGTTTTCTTCATCAAATGGACCTGCAAAAGTGAAGCAGCCCAGCTCTGCCACCTGGCAACGTGTGAGCGTCCAGCTGATCCAGAATGGCAGGAAAATAATGGCCCTTATTCCCAACAGTGGGAGCCTGAACTTCATTGAGGTAAATAACCCGCATCCCAAACCAAGGAAGTTGATTGTCCCAGCTCAAAACCAGCCATCGTACTCACCCTGCACCTTGGGAGGTGTGGAGTTACTGTGTTCTGCTGGCTGATAAACATGGACTGTGAAATCCTTGAGCTGGAATTTTCCAGCTTGAGGCCATCTGACTTGGGGTGCAGCTTCTCCTCTGTACGGACACATGTAAATTTAACTGAGCCAGCCCTGGTTGTTAAGCCTCTCTCGACTTTATTCTCATTTCAATGAAATCAAACTGCTGTTTTTAACAGTCCGTTTACTGCTAAGTTGTAGGAAAATGACAAAATTCTGGTTGCTGGTTTTGGTTGGAAGGCTCACCCTGTTGGCAACACTCACGGAGTTCAGGTTTGCCAAAGTAGCCAGTGTTTCCCTCTTGGCCTTGTATGAGGGCCAGAAGGACAAACCAAAATCCCAAGTTCTTTTTGTGCAAGCTGAATTACTCATAAAGATGTGAACCAAATCATTTTTTGCATGCCTTTCTGTGCCGTAGTAAATTATTTGTATGTAGAAATACACTCCCTGCCTGGTACTAAACACCAGGTACATGCCTGAGTGAACATTTTTGCAAGGGATGACACTAGCTAAAGCTGAGTGGTTGTCTTCTTTGGGTTTGGATCAAACAAACAAGACTAGTTTTTAAAAACATGGTGAAATGTAGAAAAACTATTGTAATAGAAGTGTCCCAAACTCCTAGTGAAGTTTAAAAAGAAACAGCAAAACCTACAGTAGCATCATCTCAAATCATCTTTCCTAGATCTTAACGTTTTAGTGAATATTTGTGCACCAAATGCCATAGTTTCTTTCAGTATACTTAGCCATTTCCTCTCTAGTCAGCTTTTAAGTATTAAGTATTCCTAATACTCTTAAAATTGTAAAGGAAAGTTGTAGCATTTCTATGAGATTAACCTCCCTAGTCTTAAAATTGCCTAATACTAGTTGCATTCTCTACACTAGAATTTTTTCTTCTAAAAAGCTGCTTTTTATAATAATAATCATAATCAAAATCTGTTTGCTCTTGAAACTGTTGCTATGTTTTCTGGTTTTCATTTGTTGGGGCTTTTTAATGCCTTTTTTTAAGATTATTTATTCAATTATTTTTTGTTGCTTATTCTATCCAGATTGAGCGTAAAAACAGCCCCTTAGAAACAACATTATTTTCTATTTAGGCTGTAAACACAGGTTGTGTAGATAAAGATAACATTTAGATTTAATTACTGCCTTTTCACAGCAATGCCAAAAAGGAAAGTGAATGTTCCTGACTTTACCATCCGGGAGTGAACTGACTGCATGAGTTGCCTGCTCAGTTGGCATCTGCAGGTTGCTGGAGTTTGGTAGTATGGACTAACAGGAGCTTTCAGAATTAGCAAATGCTTGTTTATTACAGGATTTCACCCCTGTGTAGATCCACTAGAAGGCTTAGCAGCAGCGCAGGTGTGTCAGTCAAAAGCTGGAATAACAAAGCCTGGCTCAGCTACCACCCGAGCTGCTGGGTGTTGTCTGTGCTCACCCTGAACACACCACACTGGAGACTTTTGCTTTTTTGGGGGTTGTCAGGTGCTCGGCAGGCACCTGCCACGTACATCTGGTAAGGATGCAGAGGGACCGAGGGGCTTGGTGAGCCTCAGGAGCTCCACGGCAGGAGAAAGGGATATCCCAGGCTGCAGTTGAGCCTACTCCATGCAAAAGGAAGGTGATGCCACCTGCCTTTCCCACTTGTAGCACAGGCCTGTTCCAACTGAGGGACTCACCCTCTGCCTCTGTTACCTGCGGGAAGTGCTGCAGAGCATCCCTGGCTCTGCAGAGAAAGGCATCGCTTGGTGAAGGCAACCTGGACTCCAGCATCATCTGCACCATGACGTGCCTTCTGTTGCCTCAGAGATTCACAGAATCATGGAACGGCTTGGGTTGGAAGTGTTAGAAATGAAATGTAGTGTTGATTTTGCATTCTAGTGTTAGAAACATCGTGTCGGGTTTATATACATACATATATATATATATACATATATATATACATATGTATATATATCCTAGTGTTAGAAATATATAGCTTGTTTGAGATAAGTGAGATCTCTGCACATTCTAAGGACACCAGGAGGGCTTTATGGCCCAAGAAACTGAGGGAGTGAATTGGGCTCCATCTGGGGATC